CTACCAGCTTCTCAAGGGGAAGTAGGGATGGACAATAAATGGATGGGCCAGCCAGCCATGTCCATGTCCCAAAAATTAATTTTTGTCTTAAAAAGTGTGAGAACAGACAGGCTGGATTGTGATAAACAAAATGATCTTGATCCTGCTGCGCTAGGGACAATTTTCAAATTTGCAAAGGACACAAAACTTAGGAGAATGTAGAGTGAGGAGAGCAATGGGCATTTTGGTGGAGTGGGCAGATAGGTGAACTGACTGTGCATGTACATAGTCATTAAGGGTGGTAAGGCAATTAGAGACAACTGTTAATAAACAATAAAGTAGCCTATACTTCATAAACAGGGGGACACAGTACACAAGCAGGGAGGTTATGATAAACTTGTGTAAGACTATCTACGACAGAACAATGGGAGGTGGTTAAAAAGGAAATGGGCAGAGTACATGATCAACATGGTGAAATATAAGGAGCAACAAACCTAGAGAACCCTGGGTGTCTAGGATTATTCAGGACAGGGTGAGGAGGAGAGTCTTTTAGCAGGTTCAAAGGCAGCAAATCAACTGAGGCCCTAGCAGAGTACTGGAAGTGTGTGTGTATCTGTGCAGTTATTAAGAAAGCAGTTAGGAGAGCAAATGGGAAAAGAAAAAATACTAGCAGATAACATTAGGAACAATCCCAAGATACAAGTATATTAAGAAGAAGATGATTACCAGGGAAAAAGTAGATCCTGTTTGGCACCAAGGGGCAATCTGTGTGTAGAAGTAGAGGACACTGATAGGGTATTAAACAAGTACTTCATAACTGTCTTCACTCAGGAGGATGATGTTGGTACAGAATTCAGGAGGATAGACTGATTCTTGAGCAGACTGACACTGGGAGTTCGAAGGTATTGGATGTTTTGATGGGCTTTAAAGTGGATAAATCCCCAGACAAGTTGTACCCCAGGCTGCTGTGGGAGGCGAGGAAAGAACTAACTGACAAGGCCTCTAACCAAAATTTTTAATTTTTCTCTGGTCCCAGTGTACTGAGAACAACTAATGTGGTTTAACTTATCAAGGATGGTGGAGATTAATCAGGGAATTACAGACCAGTGTGTCTCACATCAGTGGTAGAAAAATTATTGAAGAGAAATTGAAGGACATCATTAGCTTCCATTTGGAGAGTCAAGGTTTGCTCAGGGATAGTCAGCATGGTTTTGTCAGAGCACAGTCATGCCTAACAAGTTTGAGTGAATTTTGAGAGGTGGTGAGCAGGTGTGTACGTGAGGCTAGTGCAGTTGAAGGAGTCTGTGAATTTCAGCAAAACCTTTGGGTCCCACCTGGGAGACTGATAACATAGAACATAGAACATTACAGCGCAGTACAGGCCCTTCGGCCCTCGATGTTGCGCCGACCTGTGAAACCAATCTGAAGCCCATCTAACCTAAACTATTCCATTATCATCCATATGTTTATCCAATGACCATTTAAATGCCCTTAAAGTGGGCGAGTCTACTATTTTTGCAGGCAGGGCATTCCACGCCCTTACTACTCTCTGAGTAAAGAACCTACCTCTGACATCTGTCCTATATCTATCACCCCTCAATTTAAAGCTATGTCCCCTCGTGCTAGCCATCACCATCCGAGGAAAAAGGCTCCCACTCTCCACCCTATCTAATCCTCTGATCATCTTGTATGTCTCTATCAAGTCACCTCTTAACCTTCTTCTCTCTAACGAAAACAGCCTCAAGACCCTCAGCCTTTCCTCATAAGACCTTCCCTCCATACCAGGCAACATCCTGGTAAATCTCCTCTGCACCCTTTCCAATGCTTCCACATCCTTCCTATAATGCGGTGACCAGAACTGTACGCAATACTCCAAGTGCGGCCGCACCAGAGTTTTGTACAGCTGCAACATGACCTCATGGCTCCAAAACTCAATCCCTCTACCAATAAAACCTAACATACTGTATGCCTTCTTAACAACGCTATCAACCTGGGTGGCAACTTTCAGTGATCTATGCACATGGACACCGAGATCTTTCTGCTCATCCACACTACCAAGGATCTTACCATTAGCCCAGTACTCTGTATTCCTGTTACTCCTTCCAAAGTGAATCACCTCACACTTTTCCACATTAAACTCCATTTGCCACCTCTCAGCCCAGCTCTGCAGCTTATCTATGTCCCTCTGTAACATGCAACATCCTTCCGCACTATCCACAACTCCACCAACTTTGGTGTCATCCGCAAATTTACTAACCCATCCTTCTACGCCCTCATCCAGGTCATTTATAAAAATGACAAACAGCAGTGGCCCCAAAACAGATCCTTGAGGTACACCACTAGTAACTGAACTCCAGGATGAACATTTCCCATCAACCACCACCCTCTGTCTTCTCACAGCTAGCCAATTTCTGATCCAAACCGCTAAATCACCCTCAATCCCATGCCTCCGTATTTTCTGCAATAGCCTACCATGGGGAACCTTATCAAACGCTTTACTGAAATCCAAATACACCACATCAACCGCTTTACCCTCATCCACCTGTTTGGTCACCTTCTCGAAGAACTCAATAAGGTTTGTGAGGCACGACCTACCCTTCACAAAACCGTGTTGACTATCCCTAATCAAATTATTCCTTTCTAGATGATTATAAATCCTATCTCTTATAATCCTTTCCAACACTTTACCCACAACCGAAGTAAGGCTCACTGGTCTATAATTACCAGGGTTGTCTCTACTCCCCTTCTTGAACAAGGGGACAACATTTGCTAGTCTCCAGTCTTCTGGCACTATTCCTGAAGACAATGCGACATAAAGATCAAAGCCAAAGGCTCTGCAATCTCCTCTCTAGCTTCCCAGAGAATCCTAGGATAAGGTAAAAGCACATGGAATCCTGGGTACCTTGGCAAGTTGGATCCAAAACTGGCTTAGTGGCAGGAGCAGTGGTAGAAGGCTGTTTGCGTGACTGGAAGCCGGGTTCCAGTGGCAAACAACAGGGATCAGCGCTGGGTTCCTTATTGCTCATGATACGTATAAACAATATAGATAAAAGTGTTTGGGAGAGGGATAATAAGTAAGTTTGCATATGATATGAAAATTTGTTCATGAGGAAGGCCTTGGGTTACAGGAAGATATAGACAGTTGATCAGACAGGCAATTCAGTGACAGATGTAATTTAACCCTGATAAGTGAGAGTTGATGCCCTTTGGAAGTAGTAACAAGACAAGGGAGTACTCAATGAATAGCAGAACATTAGGAAGCTCAGAGGAACAGAGGGGTGCTTGTCCTCAGATCCCTGAAGATGGCAGGACATGTTAATAGGGTAGTTAAGGCAGCATTCAGGACACTCGCCTTTATCAGGTGAGGCATTGATATAAGAGCAGGAAGGTTATATTGGAGCTGTATAGGACTTTGGGTAAGCCACAGCTGAAGTACTGTGTGCAGAACTAGTCAGCACACTACAGGAAGGACGCGATTGCATTGGAGGGGGTACAGAGAAGGTTCACCAGAATGCTGCCTGGGATGGAGCAGTTTAGCTACGAAGAGTGGCTGGATAAGCTCAGGTGGTTGACAGGGGATCTGATTGAGGTGTGAGATTATAAAACATGGACAGGGTGAATTAGAAGCAGCTATTCTCCCCCTTTAGTTGAAGGGTCAATAACAGGGCATAATTTTAACATGGAGGGCAGGAGGTTTAGAAGGGAATTGAAAACATTTTTAACCCAGAGGGTGGTGGGGGTCTGGAAAGAAATGTCTGGGAGGGTAGTTGAGGCTGGAAACCTCAACTTTTAATAAGTACTTGAATTATCATAACGTTCAAGACCAAGTGCTGGAAAGTGAGACTAATCTGAATTCGTCAGCACAGACTTGATGGTCTGAAGGTCCTCTTCTGTACAGGTTGACTCTCTGACTCCAAGACACCAGTTAGATCTCAATTGGAATACTGTGTCCAGTTCTGGGCATCGTACTTTAAGAGAGAATGGAACTGGACAGAGTACAGAAGAGGTTTACGGGGATGAGATAAGATATCTCAGTTACGAAGAAAGACTGCAGAAATTGGAAGCGTTTTCCATAGAGAGGAAGATGCTATGCTGAGCTCTGATAAACATTTTCAAAACCACGAGGGTACATTTTTTATTCATTCGTGGGATGCGGGCATCACTGGCTGGTCAATATTTATTGCCCATCCCTAGTTGACCCTGAGAAAGTGGTGATGAGCTGCCTTCTTGAACTGTTGCAGTCCATGTGCTGTGGGTAGACTGACAATGCCCTTAGGGAGGGACACTGAACAGTGTGCATTGGGAGTAATTGTTCCACAGCGAGGGGTTCCGGCCATCAACTACTCACCGGAGGAAGAATTGATTGAGACATCGAAGAGGACACTGCATGATTATTAAATAAAAATGGTGTGCAGCATTATGGGGAAAAGGCAGGAGATTGGTACTAACAACCAGTGCAGACACGTATGGCTTTCTTCTACACCACAGCAATTTTGTGATTATGCCCTGATACATGTAAGGCCCATATCTGGGCATACACAGATCCATGTCCTCGAGTATGCCCTGCCCTGGGAACACACAGACCCCTGTCCCTGAGGAAACACTGGACTAATATTCAGAACCCAGTCCCCCAGCTGCAGGTATACACAACTCCTCACCCTCTCACTGGCACACCATAACCCTGCTCCAAGAACACACTCTTTGCCCCCTCCCCCTCATTTCCAGGTACAAACCCCCCCCTCCACCCACAACACCCCACCCGGCACCACAATCCCAGGTACACACTCCCCCTGCCAACCACC